CTTTGCTTAAGGCTGTAATCCTATACTTTAGGGTATATAGAATTACTGAAGTCCACATAATTTCTATTAACTTTCCGGGTTATTTTATAAATTATAAATGTATTGTTTGGTTTACTATGCTGTCCATCCATCCCTCCATCCTTCTTAAAATAGCATTGAGATCTTTCACAAGGGAGAAAACCTGCGCGGATCCTCTTATACATCCCGTCCATGGATATGGATTTTTTTTCTTCTTCTTCGGGCAAAATATCCCCTCCCACTCCCACCCAGAGGAACGGAGCCAACCTCAAGAGGGTCGATTCTGGGGAGGGGGTCCCAGGGCTGATTCCTCTCCCCATAAAATCCCCCCCCTCTCCGCTTCTCCGCTTCTCCCTCTGCGCCGAACTATCTCCTCTATCGGGTGCAATCAAAGGAGGCCCTGCCCGGAGATTGATGACGCTACAAAGGGGAGAATTCCGATTGGTCCTCCTGCTTCTTCTGGGCCCTCCCAGTTCCGAAGTTCGAGGAAAACGCCTCCTTCCCCCCCCCCCCCCATCCAGACCCCCCGATTCCGCCTCTGGGGCTGGGAGCCTCCGCGTCTCTCTTTCTTCTCTCTCTGGGGCGCTTGTGGGGCGGCGTCCATGGGCTCCGCTGGGCTCCCCCTGATGCTGCTGCTGCTGCTGCTGGCGGGGGCGCTGGCCCGGATCCCCGGAAGCGAAGGGGGGCAGGAGATCCCCGGTAAGGAGGGGGCTCAGAAGGGGGAGGAGAGGGGCTGGGGGAAGGATATGGTTGGGGAGCACCCCAGATGGTCGTGGGGGAGGGGGGAAGAAAGCTGCTGGGTCTCCAGACGTGACTTTGGGAAACGGGTCGAGGGTAAGAGTGACGGGAGCCGGCAACAGCCTCGATCTCTGCGTGGTCTCCTCCCCCTTCTCTCCCCCCTTTCCCCCCAGAGGACAGAGAGGGACCCCCTCTTTCCCGATTGTAGCCGAGGTGGGGTGTCGCAGCCGGGCCCCTCTCTCGCCCCTCCAGTGGCTGGGTCGGAGTCGGCTGCATGGAAAGAGGAAGGGGACGGAAAGCGAAAGCGAAAGAGGGAAACTGAGGTATTTTCAGACTGAATCCACACAAGGAAAAAGCTGCATTTTGGCCAAAGTATTTTTGCTTCTTCAAAGACGTCAATTTTAATCTCCAAATCTCAGATTTGAGGCTTTCAAAGTCAGGCCGGAGTTGAGCTTCGGTCCCTTCCGGGGGAGGCTCTGAATTTGGGGAGGAGGCCAAGAAACCCCCACCCCATAATCCCCCGTTGCTCTATCGGGACATGGAGGGAGGGGGGAAGTGAGAGAGAAGGATTTGGGGGACTCTGAATTGCCCCCCATGGCTCCCCAAAACAATCCCTATCGTGAGGGGGGCTGGAGACCCTCCCTTTGAGATGCTCTGGGGGGGCTGCAGGGGGCCTTTTGGGGAGGGGGAGAGGAAACAAGTCTGAATCTCGAAAATCATCCCAAGGCAGGGAGTTGGGCTGAAGATTGGGGGGGTAAAAGATAAGTTGGGGGGGACCCAGGGAAGGTGGGCAGTTGAAGGGCTGGGACCCCTCAGGAGTGTCACTCATTCTGCCCCCTTTACCATATTCCCCGCCCCCCCAAAGGAAGAGAGGGTATGGATATTACTTTCCCTCCACCCCAAAAAGTTTCAGCCCCCCCCCAATTCCTCCCCTTTAGATCCAACGCTCCCTGCAGAGAGTAGATCTGCTAGACCAGTTGAACTTCTGCCTGCCTTTTTCCACCCGGGGAGGATGGAGGAGTCCAGCAGGAAGTTCCTCCCCCCCTCCAGACCCCCCCCCAGCAAGTCCTCCCTCTGGCACTGAGAGAGTTCCCCCTCTCTCCTCCAGGGGGCGTCTTCCGCCAGTCTCTCACGGAAGGCCTCCCCGACCTCCCTCTTGGCGTATGGGTCCCTCCTTTGCTAGCGGCTGGGAACGATGGGCCCTGGAGTCCCTCCTGATGGCCCTCCTCCTCCTCCTCCTCCTCCTCCCTGCAGCCCATTTCCTGGTCCAGTGCAGGTCCGAGTGCCATTTCTTCAACGGGACGCAGCGGGTGCGATACCTGGACTGGTACATCTACAACCGGCAGGAGATCGCCTACTTCGACGGCGACCTCGGGAAATACGTGGCCGTCACTCCGTTGGGGCAGCCTGATGTGGACTATTGGAACAGCGATAAGGCTGTCATGCAGATCAAGAGGGCCGAAGTGGATTCTTTCTGCCGGCACAACTATGGGGTTCTCCAGGGCAATTCTGTGGTTGGCCGGAGAGGTGAGTGGGGGAGGGGACATTTGGGAGAGGATCCCGGGACCCCCCCCTTCCTTTCACTTACTAGGATTCTCCCTGGGAAAGATCCACTCCTTACATACATTCCCTCCTCTCAAATCTACAAAATTTATTCATTTGTATCTGTTGCTATTGATGGATCCTTCTAAACTGCCCCCTCCCTCCCCCAAAGAGGGGCTCTGGGGGGGTGTAGGATAGAACGTAACCCATGAATAAAGATCAAAGTCAAAATTTAAGTCACAATTTAAAAAAAGGTGGGATTACACAACAAGGTGTCCTGGTTCTGGCTGAAGATCCCAGGGAAGGAAGCAGGCGGGAGAGATTCCCCTCCCCAATGCAGAACTTCCTTGGGCAGAGAATCCCAGCAGGGAAGGAGTTGGAAACCATCTCTGGCCTTTTGGGGCCAGAAGGACAGATTAAAAGTCTCCCCCTGAGAGAGCAAGTCACACAAACACAAACACAAAGACACACACACAGAGAGAGAGAGAGAGAGACAGACAGACAGACAGTTAAGCCCCAGACAATTGTTGTGAGAGAAATCCTTCCTCTGCTAGGAACAATCCAGCAGGACCTTCCTTGCCATATTAAACTGGTCCAAACCCCTCGGATTGATCCCCCCTCCCACCTGCCTCTCTTGCAAGTGACAAGATAACAAGGGCTGCACCAAAATAAGACTGTTTAAAGCTTGACATGATGACAGCTAAACATCCAAAGGGAAAAAACTACATCCCTCTCCTTCCCATCAGTCACATAATCTTTCTTTTCTTCCCAAGGTCCAAAGTTTTTCCTCCCCAGAAAAAGTTCCCGCCAGAAAATCCATCCAAATATTACATTTTTTTTGAAGGGGGAGGGGGGGGAGAGAATCCAGCAAGGTCTCTCCCTTGCCCAGGACGTAGGTATGTTTTATCTCCGTCTTGGGCCCCTCCAATATCTTCAGCAATGACTCAGAGGACGGAATTGAAAGGGAAATTCGTGAAATTTGCCAATGACACTAAACTGGAGGGAAAGAACAACCAACACCCCAGAAGACAAACTCAGATTCTCCAGTTCAGCTGGAGCCCCCCTGGGGTAGAATCACACAGGGGGGGGTTATTGACTGCAGAGGCCATCTCCCCTCCCCCGCCATGCATCCTGTTCCCTCCTCCCCATCTTTTAACTATAATTTTATCTTGATTGGGAGTTCCAGTTTTATTGCTATAGAAATCTTTACCTGTGGTGTCTCTCCCCCCCCCGTGTCCCTCCTCCCCCTCCTCCCCTCCAGCCAAGCCCACCGTCTCCATCTCCCCCACCAAGCTGGACCCCGCTTCCCCCAACACCATCCTCCTCTGCATCGCGAGGGGCTTCTACCCCGTGGAGATCGAGGTCCGGTGGCTGAAGAACGGGCGGCCGGAGGAGGAGGGCGTGGCCTTCGGGGAGGAGCTCCAGAACGGAGACTGGACCTACCAGCTCCAGGTGATGCTGGAGACCCAGCCCCAGCGGGGGGACGTCTACGCCTGCCAGGTGGAGCATGCCAGCCTGGAGGCCCCGATCATCGTCCAGTGGGGTGAGCTCCCCTCCCTTCCCACCCCCTCTGGGGACCCCCTCCTGCCCTGAGAAGGGGGAAGAGACCCTCCCTGTGGGGGAAGCTGGGACGGACCCTCCTGGGGGGGAAGCTGGCCCTGATCTTCCTACTCAGTGAGGCTCCTTCTCCTTCCCCAGAGCCCCGATCCTCCAACTCTGCCAAGAGCAAACTCTGGACGGGGATCGTGGCAGCCGTGATCGGGGTGATCTTCTTTGCCATGGGGCTCTCCCTCTATCTGAAGAGCAAGAACGGTGAGTCTGGGGGGCTGGATGAGAGATTGTGGGGAGGGGACCATCCAGGGGGGGCCTTTCACCAAGCTTAGCAGATGGCAAGGAGGCCCCCTTGGAGATTTGCTTGGGAAATTCTGTTCTTTGAGGGTCTACTGTATAAGTGAGCATCCTGCAACCTATTATGGGCTATTGATGGGGAGGAAGCCCCCCTGAGTCCTCCAGCCCATGAAGGGTTCTGATTGGCTCTTTTTTCCTTCCAGCAACTCCCATCCAGCCTCCTGCAGGTGAGTTTGTCCTCAGGTTATAGATGTTTCCTTAACATTCGTTAATTGTTCCTTTTTGTAAAAAAAAAAAAAATGTGCCTGAACAAAACCTCCTTGCTGTGGATGCAACAGATTTTTGAAATTTTGGGCAGCTTTTCCCTACAGAGACCTGCAAATGCATTGCAATCAAAAACAAACACACACACATAAACATTAAAATCTGGCCCAGGGTGTTTCCAAGTTTGGGAAAATGCAAAAGGGAAGGGAAGTCTCCTTGTGACATTTCGCACAATTCCTGGCAACGTGACACCCGGCTTTGCTGCCACCCCCCATCCTGGCCCCATCTTCTTTGTTAATATGAAATGTTTGGGGGGGGGAGGCCTCCTCTCTTGATTAACCTCCCCCCAATTAATTCAGTTGGGGAAAATTCCATCAGCCCCAGAAGATGAATTGCTGGTTCTTTGCATCCTTTTCCTCCCTGAAAGGGGTGTGTGTGGTTCTCCCTCATTCTGCCCCTGCCTATCAACCCCCCCTCTACAATGTGGGCCTGTCTGGGGGGGGGGGCTGAAAGAGAGGAATAATAAGGTATTTACACTGAAGGTTTCCCTTTACATTCTAATTTTCTTTCCCATCTCTTTTTTTCTACAGCACTCATGAATTAATCCTTCTTGATTCCTGATGGGAAAGGAAGTTTTTTTTTTTTTCAGTAGCTGAAGAATTTCTGGCTTTTTCGCAACCTCTGAAAAATGGAAGCTCAAGATTTTAGATTGGGGGGAGGAGGAGAACGGCAGCCTGGAGCTTCTCCTGCTGAGATCCCCCTCCCAGCTTCCTTTGAAGGCCTCCCTTTCTTGGGAGGGAGGGGTGGAGGCCATCTAGACTGACCCCAGGGACTCCAGGCCTGCCTGTCGCTCCAAACCCACCCACCCCCATTTCTCCCAGCTCTGAATCCACAGCAGCTTCATCTTCATTACTCTTCCTACAAATCCCTTCACTTTGCTATAAAAGAATAAACATTGTAGGAAAACCCTGGAACTCCTTCCTTCCTTCGCCATCACTGGTATAAGGTCTCCCCTGCTCAAGCAGGGGGGTTGGACTAGATGACCTCCAAGGTCCCTTCCACCTTCTTCCATGTTCTACCTACGAACAGCTCTCCTCCAGTCCATCCCGCTTCCCCCACCCCAAGCTGCCATGTCTGGTAAGGGATAAATTTGGGGGAGTTCCTTTGGGGAGGGCTAGGACTACAACTCCCCTCATCGCTCAGCAACGGGGGGGGGGCAGGATGTAGCTACATTCAGACAACACTCATGCACAGAGCATGAGCAACAAACAGGGTGAATTAGAAATTCAGGTAAATGAGGGCAGATATGATATTGATGCCATTATGGAAACTTGGTGGGATGAAACCCACAAATGGAACACGCAGCTAGAGGGATGTAAATGATTTAAAAGAAACAGACCAAATAAAAGAGGAGGTGGAGTTGCTCTCCGTATAAGAAATAACTACATCTCTACAGAAATGGAGCACAACAGTGATGAAAACTGTCTTGAGTGCCTTTGGGTCAATATAAAAGGGGGGAAATGGCATTGCCATAGGTGTATACTACAGGTCACCCAACCAAACAGAGGAAATAGGTGAACTTTTTACTAGTCAGTTAACTAAGGCATGTAGAAAGCACACCAAATTAGTCATGGTGGACTTTAATTACCCGGACATCAACTGGGAGGCAAACTCTGCACCAAGTGGAAGATCAAACAGGTTTCTGACAAACCTGGCAGACTATTTTCTCTCTTCAAGGATTGTTTTTCGGATTAGCTAGAGAGGAAATGCTACCTGTCAGCAGGTAAAAATGCCTCGCTCACTTGGGCTGATCTCAGAAACTCTGCAAGGCCAGTCCAGGCTAGTCCTGGGATGAAGAGGTCTGGAAATCCCAAGATCTGTCTCTCTCTCTCTCTCTCTCTCTCTCTCTCTCTCTCTCTCTCTCTCTCTCTCTCTCTCTCTCTCTCTCTCTCTCTCTCTCTCTCTCTCTCTCCTTCCCTTCCTTCCTTCCTCCCTGTCAAGGTTGAATTGCTAAGATGCTTGCTAACTTCTGTTGCTGCTCCACTTGCCATAGAAACAGGGGAGAGGGGGAGTCTGGGAAAGAAATGGGACTTTCAGGAAGTCGTCCATGAACCTTGAGATCCAAGGTCATCCGAATCACATGTCTGGCAGAGAAGTGGACCTTTCCCATAACAAACAGAAAGAATGTGATTGGGCAACGTGAACACAGGGTGGGCGGGGTTATGAAAAGCTAGGATTAACTATCCAGAGTTAACTAACTAGAGTTGATTTTACTTCTTCAGTGTCAGGTTGTGTATTCAATAAAGGTTACCTCTTATGGCACCTCAGGACGGTAGAGTTTCTTCAATGTTGAATTCAGCAGCTGGACAGATGACTCTATCTATCTATCTATCTATCTATCTATCTATCACTATTTGTCTCTCTCCTTTCCTCCCTCTTTCTTGCCTTCCTTCCCTCTGTCTCTCTTTCTCCCTCTTATCTCTATCATTTCTATAATCTCTCTTCTCTATCTCTCTATCATTATATCTATTTTATATCTATCTATCATCTCTCTCTCCCTATATCTTCTTTATCTCTCAATCTCTCTATCTCCATTTCTCTATCTCTCTATCTCTCTACCTATCTATCTATCTATTTATCTATCTATCTGTCTGTCTTCTGTATCATCTCTCTGTCATTTCTATCTATCTCTCCACCCCCCTCTTCCTTCTCTCTCTCTCTCTCTCTCACTCACTCACTCTATCATCTAGATATCAAATTTATATAACCACCCATCTCACAACAAGTGACTGGGTTGGTTACACAAAGCTAAACACAGATACAGACGTGAAATTACTTTTAAAAAACTTAAAAACAATATCAATTTTTAAAAAGAAGAAACATTAGGTGAAGAGTCAGTTTTTTCAGTGTCGTTGTTACTTTGAACAGCCATTAAATGAGCTGGTGTTAAGTCATCACCATCACCAGCGCTTTCACTGGTGGGGAAAGGAATGGAGATATCCATGGATAGACTTTCTTTGGGGAGACCTGACCCCACCCCACTTCTCCAGGTCCTCTGTCAGCATCCCTCCCCATTCTGCAACTGAGCCCCTCCCCCTCCCTTCTTCTCATCCTTTTCCTCTCTTTCCTTCCACCTTTCACGGCATTAGAGCCCCTTCAACCTCTCCCCCACCCTCCAGAGCCGAGTCTGCACGTAATGTGTGAATGAGGAGAATCGAAGCTTATGGACATTTGTCCAAACCTCCATCAGTTTGTTTCCTGAGCTGTCCGGGATCTCCTCGGGAGCTGGGAGGCGGCCCGCCTGCCCGCCCCACCTGGAGACTCAGGAGGCGGAGCGGGAGAGTCCCGGAGCTGCCCCGGAGAAGAATCCAGGCTAGTTACCTGCTGGATCAGGGCCAGTTTCTCGGTTCCGCTTCGGAGGGGCCCAGCGCTTCAGGCTGGGCGCGTGGGGAAGCGAAACTCGAGCGCCTCTGCAGCTGTTGGGGGTTGCAGAAACAAACAAAGTTGCTCTGTGTATTTGTGTGTGTGTGTGTGTGTGTGTGTGTTGAGGGCTGGGGTGGCAGGAAGAACTCAAGAGAAAATCAAAATCGTGCTAGGGAGGATACATGAAAAGAGTCGAGTAGTTCTGCTTTGGTGAGCGATGGAGGCCCCTCCCCCCTCCTCCCAAGGCTGCCTGGATCTGTGCGATCGACTTTGTGCGACTGGCTGTGTCCAGACACACAACTGGGGGGCACATTCGGACTCTGCCGCCTCCTGCAGCTGCAGGGGGGTGACCCGACTCTGGCATGCCGAGGCTGGTGCTGAGCCAGGGGGGAGTCTGGCCCCTCCAGCCGCCCCCCCCCAATCCCTGGAAAGGATTCAGGCCAGGATACACACCCTGTGGGATGTCTGCCTGCTGCAGTTGGGAAAGGGGTGGAGCTCTGAGCATTGGCCTGATCTGGTAGCACCAAGAGTTAACTAATATTTTTAAGATCTGCCCTCAAGAGCTGACAGCACCTTGTCCAGCCTCAGATGGCCGCACCAAGCTGAGAGGGATCAGCCTGGTTGGTCTGAGGATGGGAGACCACCAGGAAGCATCTGGGCTGAAACACCTCCAGGCAATAAGCACCAAGCTTCAGCCGTGAGCCTTTCTGGAACTCGCCTCCCTCAAAAGATTCACTTCTCATTCCTCTTTTAGCCTTGCCTGGTCTCCCTGAAACTCCCCCCCTCCCCCCTTTCTCACATCCTGCTGTTGGGAAGGCCTCGTGGGAACCCAAGTCCCCCTGTCCGAAACCCTAAAGAGGGCAATGGGGGGGTCTCACCTCCCTTCCCCCTTTCCCCCATCTCTAGCTGCAGAGGCTCTTTAGATTTTGGCACCTTCCCGAGGGCGCAAGGGATGTAATTGGGGGTCCTCAACCGCCTTGCCCTCTTCCCTTGGGGCCGATCCCCCCCTTTTTTGTGGGTCTCAGATGCATGAGGAAGCCCGAGCCCCCGCCCTGCATCAGGAGGGAGGAAATGGCGCCCACGCAGAGCAGGAAGGAAAACTGGAGGCGAGGAAAGAAGGGGGGAGAACGAGGGGGAGGGGAGAAGGGGGTGAGGAAGAATGAGGGGGACCGAGAGGAAAGCAAGGGAGAGCAAAGGGGAGCAAGGAGAGAGGGGGGGAGGGGAAAAAGTGAGGGGGGAGTAAGGAAGAGCGAGGGGAGGGGAAAAAGTGAGGGGAGGGAGTAAGAAGAGCGAGGGGGGAGGGGAAAAAAGTGAGGGGGGAAAGGAAGAGTGAGGGGGAGGGGAAAAAGTGAGGGGAAGTAAGGAAAGAGAGAGGGGGAGGGGAAAAGTGAGGGGGGAAAGGAAGAGCGAGGGGGGAGAGGAAAAAGTGAGGGGGGAAAGGAAGAGCGAGGGGGGGGAAAAAGTGAGGGGGGGAGTGAAGGAAGAGCGAGGGGGAGGGAAAAAAGTGAGGGGGAAAAGTAAGAGCGGGGGAGGGGAAAAAGTGAGGGGGGAAAGGAAGAGCGAGGGGAGAGGGGGAAAAAGTGAGTGGGGGGAAAGGAGAGCGCAAGAGAGGAAAAAAGTGAGGGGAAAAAGTGGGGAAGCGAGACGGAAGAGCGAAAAAGTGGAGTAAGGAAGAGCAAGAGCAAGAGCGAAAAGTGGGGAGGGGAAAAAAGTGAGGGGGGGTAAGGAAGCGAAGGGGGGAGGGGAAAAGTGAGGGGAAAGAAGAGCGAGGGGGAGGGAAAAAAGTAGGGGAGAGCAAGGAAAGAGCGAGGGGGAGGGGAAAAGTGGGGGGAGAAGAAAGCGAGGGGAGGGGGAAAAGTGTGGGGGAGTAAGGAAGCGAGGGAGGGGTGGAAGAGCGAGGTGAGGGGAGAATGAGCAAGGGAGCGAGGGGGAGTTGGGAAAAGTGAAGGGGAGCAAGAAAAGCGAGTGAGGGAGGAGGGGGAAGGGGAAGGCGAGGGGAGAGTGGGGGAATAAGAGAAGTGGGGCAGGGAGGGAGAGAGGGAGAGCGAGAAGGGTGGGGAAAGAGCGAGGGGGGAGTGGAGAGGGAGCGAGAGGGATTGAGGGAGAGGGAGGGAATGGGGAGCGAAAGAGCGGGGGGAGAGAGCGAAGGGGGAGCGGCAGCGCAGCGAAACTCTATTTCTGACTTCCAGAAAGCGCACTTCCGCCCCAACCAATGGAAAAGCGAGCTTTGGAAGCGTCATCCGTCTCCAGGCAGAGGAGCCAACCGCTGGCGTCCTTTGCAGGAGATGGTTGTCTCGGCTGAAGAGGCGGCAAGATCCGAGGCGCCGGGGGGGGGGCGGCTGGCGTTGGGCTGGGTCCCACATCAGATGTTCAGGCTGCATTTGGCGTTTTTGTCCACCCCATCGGGTCCTTCCCCAGGACCCGGGCGGACGTTTGATGGCGTGAAAGCTCCCCTTGCGGATTGAAGCCGTTCCAAGCAAAGCTGCCTTTCGCAATTGACTGAGGGCGATGTGTTCAACGCCCACGAGAGGTATTCAAGGGGTGCTCCAGATGTTTTGGGATTGCCACTCAAAGTTCCCCGTCGCTACGGATACTACAGTGAGTCCTGAACTTACCACCATTCAGTTAGCAACCGTTTCCAAGTTACAACGGCGCTGAAACAGTGACTCTTATGACCGTTTTTCACACTTAGGACCCTTGCTGCATCTCCATGGTCATGTGATCAAAATTCGGCCGCTTGGCAACTGACTTGTACTTAGGATCCCAGCCTCCTGGGATCACGCGATCACCATTTGTGGCCTTCCTAGCCGCTTCTGTCAAGGAACCTTAGTGGGGAAAGCATGACTCATTTAACAACTGTAGCGATTCGTTTAAGAACTGTGGCCAAAAAAAAAAAGGTCATAAAAAGGTGGTGCAACCACTGAATAACCGTCTTGCTTAGCGATGGAAATTTAGAGTTCGGTTGCTTTTTTTGCCACCATTGTTTTGCATTTCTATTTGCAGATCTTTGCATTTTGTGAGTTTTTCTCCAGTTTTTCTCTTCTCTTCTGCTGCCTCCAGGTGATGCCACGTCCACGATCCAGACTTTTTTTTTTTTTTTGTCCTTCTTATTGACAATTGTCAAGTTCTGGGCTGTTGTGTGGCAGGCGCCGTCTATTTGAGCTCTAAAGTCCCAGCTTCCTCATTTTGTGTTACTTGTCTATTTCTGCTCTCAGAAAAGCTCTGACTTGCAGGCAAATGGTGGTGGTTGTTTTTTTTGCAGATTCTTCCATTGTTGCGACTTTGTCACGCCTCTGGCTATACTGTCAGTCCCTGTGGTCTTCTTGCAGGGGCTCACCAAGTGGTACACTGTTTCTTCAGCTTCTTTGTGGAAATAATTAATTACCATAGCATTACTACATTTTTTTATTCCCTCCCCCCGTCTTTTTATATTTGTTTATCAAATGTATTTCCTGCCCAGTTCAAGTGACTTTTACATATAATGCAAGGCAGCGAATGTAACTTAATCTTTCGGCCAGTCTCTTGTACCCCATAACGACACCCTGGGGGGCTGGAGGGAGAGGGAGGAGAGAGGGAGGGAGGGGGGAGGAGGGAGGGAGAGAGATAGAGAGAGGAGGGAGAGCGAGAGAGGAGGGAGGGAGAGAGAGGAGAGGAGAGAGAGGGAGAGAGAGAGAGAGAGGGAGGAGAGAGAGAGAGAGAGGGAGAGAGAGAGAGAGGGAGAGAGAGAGAGGGAGGGAGGGAGAGAAGAGAGCAGAGGAGGGGGAGAGAGAGAGAGAGAGAGGGAGAGAGAGAGAGAGAGGGAGGAGAGAGAGAGAGAGAGAGAGAGGGAGAGAGAGAGAGAGGGAAGGGGAGAGAGAGGGAGGGAGAGAGAGAGAGAGAGAGAGGAGGGAGAGAGAGAGAGCGAGAGAGAGGGAGAGAGAGAGAGAGGAGAGAGAGAGAGAGAGAGAGAGAGAAGAGAGAGAGAGTCTGGCTCACCCAGCCGACTTTCACGCTCAAAGCAGAATTAGAACTCTCGCCACCCGATCCTTGGAGGGGCCCAGCTGACGAACCCCTAGCCAAGCACGGGGAGGATCTGAAGGGATCCTGGAACTAAGGAGAAACTTCCCGACGGTGAGAACGATTAACCAGCGGAACTTCTTGCCACCAGAAGCGGTGGGGGCTCCATCCCTGGAGGCTTTTAAGAAGCGACCGGACAGCCACCTGTGTGGAATGGCTTGAGCAAGGGGGTTCGACTAGAAGACCTCGAAGGTCCCTTCCAACTTTATTCTGATTGAATGAATGAATCAGAGACGCCGGCAGGGCACCGTCCCTTCTGCCCCATTTGGAATGGTGAAGGCCGAACCCACCTCCGCCCGTCTTGTGGGGAGGGGGATATCCAGCAGACACCCCCCCCCCGGAACCAAAGACCCCGGGCAAGGAGTCCTGGGGGGGGGGGAACTGCAGGGAGGCTGACTGGAGGCTGCAGCGCCCGGGCGCGCTCTATCTACGGGACCGTCCACCTGCTGGAGATCTTTACCTGGCGACAACGGCGTCACAGGCGCTCGATTTTCCAATTGGTCGCCCCGCGGGCGGGGCCGCACTTATCAGCCGACGGCTGAGCTAAATTGCCCTTGGGCGGCGCGTAGCTTCTACTTTCTCTCTCGCCCTCTCGCTACTACGACCGTGTCGCCATGGCTGGCAAAGGCAACGGAGCTGGGATCTCGGAGGGGCTGGCGTGGCTGCTGCTGCTCCTGGCTCTGGCTGAGCTCGGAAGAGGTAGGGGCGCCTCTCTGGGGGGTCCCTCGGAGAGCGGGGGGGGAGGGGGAAGAGAGGTTCACCCACGGGGGGGGTGGGGTGGGGGGAAGGGAAAAGAAGCTGAGGCTGCCCCCCCCAGAGAGAAGAGGGGGTGAATATCTGCCCGCCCCCCCCGACTTTTCCCCCCAAACCCCAGCGTTGTCCGAGTTGGAAAAGTTGGGGACGACCCGATCCGTGGGGAAGGTCAACGGGGTGCATTCACACGACGGGCTATTCTCAGAAAGGGGGCTTTCCGTGTCTTCTTGCGCCGGGGTGCCAGCAACCCGCTGGGCGCGGCCCTCGGGTGGGGAGCCAGGCAAAGGTGTCGGGCGAAGCCGGCCCTGAGCCAGCGTGTTCATGGCTTTCCGCGAAGCCGGAAATCGGCCGAGTTCGGCAGTTTCGTGGGAACGCACGCAGCCACCGCCTGCGGCCTGACAAGATCGGCCCGGTCGTCCGCCTCTCCAGGCAAGAACGGCCCGTCCGGGACCCAGTCGGGGCGCAGAGAGAAGGCAGACCCCCCCCGCCCTCCTTGGGGGGGGGAGCTGAAGCTGACATTTTCACCGCACGCCCGTCCGCTTGCCCCCCCCCCAAGACAAGGGAGCGGACAGGGGGAGGAGGCCCCCCCGCCCCCGAGCTGGGGAGACCCTTCTGCCCCCCCCCCAAGTCTTTATTTTTATTTCTAGTTAATCCTCTCCCCACGGGTGCCCTGGAACGCCAATTAGAATAACAAGAGTGGGACGGGAGCCTGGAGGTCATCTAGTCCAACCCCCTGCTCAAGCAGGAGACCGTAGTAGACCCTTTCGGACGGATGGCTGTCCTCCGGGTGGCGCCCCACCCTCTGCCCCCCCCTCGACCGAGATGGGTGGGGGAACGGAGAGCGCGCAGCTTCCTCTCCCTCCCCGCCCCCCCTCGCTGTCGCGGTGGGGGGGAGGGGACTGTGACCCAGAGGGGAGGCGTGCCAAGAGGTGCCGCCCCCTTTCCGTGGACTCAGAGGCTGGAGAGTCCCGGCCCGGCCCTGATTGGCCCCTCCCTCCCCCCCTTCCCTTCCCCCCCCTCCTCCCGCTTCCAGCCCAGGACAGCCCGGAGCCAGGCGAGGAGATCCTGTCCCAGGTGGCCTTCGTTCAGACGACCCTCCGCAACACCAGCGGCAGCTCCGAGTTCATGTTCGAGTTTGACGACGACGAGATCTTCCACGTGGACCTGCAGGAGAGGCGGACCATCTGGCGGCTGCCGGAGTTCGGGCGCTTCACCAGCTTCCAGGCGGAGGGAGCGCAAGGGAACATCGCCGTCCTGCAGTCCAACCTGGAGATCCTGATGAAGCGCTCCAACTACACGCCCGCCGCCAACCGTGAGCCGGCAGGGGACGGAGGGACCGAGGGAGGGACGGGTGGGGAGGGAGAGGGGGCGCGCGTGTCTCTCTTCCTTCCTTCCTTCCCCCCACCCATCCGCGCCCTGGCCTCCCCGGAGGGGGGTGGGGCGGTCAGAAAAGTCAAGATGGCGGCCGCAGCCATGGAGCCGTGGAAGGCTTGCAGTTCTTTGGCATGGCTAGCTGCCATCTTGACTCTTTTGAGGTCCTTCCCACCCTCTCCCCTTCCCTCTCTGCCTCACTCCTTCCCTTCCTTCCCTCCTCTCTCCCTCCCTTCTTTCTGCTCTCTCTCTCTCTCTCTCTCTTTTCCTCCCTCCTCTTTCTTCCTCCTTTCCTCCCTCTCTCCACTCTCTTCCTCCCCTTCTTCCTTCCCTCCCTCTCTCTCCTTCTCTCTCTCCCTCCCCCTCTCCCTCCCCCTTTCCCCTCTCTTCCTCTCTCTCCCTCCCTACTTCTCTCCCTCCCCCACCCTCCCTCCCTCCCTCTCCCCCTCTCCCTCCCTCCCTTCTTCCTTCCTTCCCTCTCTCCCCTCTCTCTTTCTCTCCCTCCCTCCCTCTCTCCCTCCCTTCTTCCTTTGCTCTTCCTCCCTCTCTCTCCCTCCCTCTCTCCCTCCACCTCTCTCTCCCCCTCTTTCCCCTCTCTCTTCCTCTCTCTCCCTCCCTACTTCTCTCCCTCCCCCATCCTCCCTTTCTCCCTCCCTCCCTCTTCCCTTCTCTCTCCCTCTCTTCTTCCTTCCCCCTCTCTCTCCCTCCCTCTCTCCCCTCTCTCTTTCTCTCCCTCCCTCCCTTCTTCCTTCCCTCCCTCGCTCTCCTTCCCTCTCTCTCCCTCCCTCTCCCTCCGTCTCTCTCTCCCCCCTCTCCCCCTTTCTCCCCTCTCCCTCCCTCTCTCTCTCCCTCCCTCCCTCCCTCTCTCTCCCTACCCCCTCTCTCTCATGGGAACACAGATACCTCTATGAGCCCACTTGAAATTCGGAGGACACTTGCGAAGGGTTTTTTTTTTTTTTCATCTTCCAGATGAATCCCTGGAAGATGCTTCCCCATGAACACAACTGACAAGGGTTCCGTGGGGGGGGGGGGTTTGAGGAGATTCAGCCTCTTCCTTTTGCCCTCAATGTGCAACACTCCTCCCCTTCTCTCTTTTTAAATTACTATTTGCATTCCGCCCTTTTTACGCCGGATTATGATCTCGATCTAGATTTGACGACTGGTTCCTTTTCGCCCCTCCCTTTCTTGAATTCCCCTAGCTTATTCTTTCACGAGCGGGGGGGGGGGGAGGAGAGGGGGGTTGAGAGAGGGTGATATTTCCAAACAAAACTGCAGCAAGCTTGGGAGGCATTTTCTCAGAATCTTTTGTACCCTCCCTTTTCTAGAAAATTGTATGCTGTCCAGAGTCAGCTTGTAGGGAAGAAGTGTGGCATCATAAATACATAAAATAAAATAAAATAAAATAAAATAAAAACAAATATTAATCCTGTTGCTATCCCTGATGCCATGTGGGGAAGAAGGGCGGCATAACAAACAATAAAATAAAATAAAATAAAATAAAATAAAAACAAATATTAATCCTGTTGCTATCCCTGATGCCATGTGGGGAAGAAGGGCGGCATAACAAACAATAAAATAAAATAAAATAAAATAAAAACAAATATTAATCCTGTTGCTATCCCTGATGCCATGTGGGGAAGAAGGGTGGCATAACCAACAAGCAATAAATGATATAACATAAAATAAAATAAAAGCAAATATTAATCTTGTTGCTATCCCTGATGCCATGTGGGGAGGAAGGGCGGCATAACAAGCAAATAAAATAAAAACAAATATTAATTTTGTTGCTATCTCTGATGCCATGTGGGGAGGAAGGGCGGCATAACAAGCAAAATAAAATAAAAACAAATATTAATTTTGTTGCTATCCCTGATGCCATGTGGGGAAGAAGGGTGGCATAACAAACAAGCAATAAATAACACAAAATAAAATAAAAACAAATATTAATCTCATTGCTATCCCTGATGCCCCGTGGGGACCCTCTGACCCAAACCCTCAGTCCAAACTGGAGGTGGGACCCCCCAACCTTCTCTCTCCTGCTGCTAACTGCTTACCGCAGGAGTCCCCAACTCTCGGCCCGTGGCCCACAGCCTGTTACTGAGTCTTGAGCCTTCCAGAACTGGGATGAGTGGTGCACAAATGGGGCTGCGCACGAGCGTGCTTGCCAACCACGCATGTGGAGGACGCCAAAGTAAACCCCCTCCCCAACTGAGGCCCCTCTCCTCTCTCCCCCCCCCCGCAGAGCTTCCAAAAATGATGATTTACCCGGAGCAGGAGGTGGAGCTGGGGGAACCCAACGTACTCATCTGCATGGCGGACGACTTCTCTCCCCCGGTGCTGAACATGACCTGGTTGAAGAACGGCCATCTGGTGACCGAAGGGGTGCAGACCATGGATTACTACCCCAAGAAGAACCACGCCTTCCGCCGGTTCTCCTACCTGACCTTTGTCCCAAACCAGGACGATAACTACATCTGTGAGGTGGATCACTGGGGCCTCAAGGAGCCTGTGGGAAAGCTTTGGAGTAAGCAGAAGAAGGAAGGGAGCAGCACTGGGTGGGAATCAGGCCCCCTTGGCTTTTTTTACACAGGGCAGCCTTTTGGGTCAGGGGGTCCCATATATCTAAGCCAATGGGAAAAGGAGGGTGTCCCCTTGGAAAATCCCACTCCTGAAACTGTCAATGGGATGGGGTGGGGTGGGCTGGAGTGGAGTGGAGTGTAGAGTAGAAGGAGTAGAGTGTAGTGTAGTGTAGAGTAGAGTAGAGTAGAGTAGAGTAGAGTAGAGTAGAGTAGAAGGAGAGGAGTGGAATAGAATAGGGAATGCAGAATAGAAGAGAATGCAGAATAACAGAACAGAATATAGAAGGGAAGGGAAGAGGAGAATGGAATGGAATGGAATGGAATGGAATGGAATGGAATGGAATGGAATGGAATAGAATAGAATAGAATAGAATAGAATAGAATAGAATAGAATAGAATAGATAAATAGAATAGAATAAAATAGATATACAGACCAGAGTAATATAGTAGAGTAGATAGAGTAGAGTAGAATAGACATAGAATAGATAGAAATAGAATAGAATAGAATAGAATAGACCAGAGTAGAGTAGAACAGAACAGAACAGTAGAGTAGAGTATAGTAGAGTAGAATAGAATAGAATAGAATAGAATAGAATAATAGAATATAGACCAGAGTAGAGTAGAACAGAACAGAACAGTAGAGTAGAATAGAATAGAATAGAATAGAATAGAATAGAATAGAATAGAATAGAATAGAATAGAATAGAATAGACCAGAGTAGAGTAGAACAGAACAGAACAGTAGAGTAGAGTAGAGTAGAGTAGAATAGAATAGAATAGAATAGAATAATAGAATATAGACCAGAGTAGAACAGAACAGAACAGTAGAGTAGAGTAGAGTAGAATAGAATAGAATAGAATAGAATAGAATAATAGAATATAGACCAGAGTAGAGTAGAACAGAACAGAACAGAACAGTAGAGTAGAGTAGAGTAGAGTAGAATAGAATAGAATAGAATAGAATAGAATAGAATAGAATAGAATAGAATAGAATAATAGAATATAGACCAGAGTAGAGTAGAACAGAACAGAAGAGTAGAGTAGAGTAGAGTAGAATAGAATAGAATAGAATAGAATAGAATAGAATAGAATAGAATAGAATAGAATAGAATAATAGAATATAGACCAGAGTAGAGTAGAGTAGAACAGAACAGAACAGAACAGTAGAGTAGAGTAGAGTAGAGTAGAATAGAATAGAATAGAATAGAATAGAATAATAGAATATAGACCAGAGTAGAGTAGAACAGAACAGAACAGAACAGTAGAGTAGAGTAGAGTAGAGTAGAATAGAGTAGAGTAGAGTAGAGTAGAGTAGAATAGAATAGAATAGAATAGAATAGAATAGAATAGAATAGAATAGAATAGAATAGAATAGAATAGAATAGAACAGAGGAACGGAATGTAGAATAGAAGAGAATGCAGAATAATAAAACAACAGAACAGAATAGAATATAGAAGGAAAGGGAAGAGGATAGAACAGAACAGAACAGAAGCAGGGTAACTACCTGCCACTTGAAGCCACACTGGGGGCACCGGTTTGGCTCCTTCACTGGAGGGTTTCAAGAAAGGGCTGGGCAGCCATTTGTCTGAGAAAATTTGAAGATTCCTGCTCTGGGCGGGCGGGGGGGGGGTTTGGACTAGATGACCTCCAAAGTGCCTTGCGGTTCTAGGCATCTGTGACTTGCTGAAATTTGATTTGTTCTGGCTGTCCCCTCCCCCTCCGCCCCTCACTCTGGAACCTCCCGGGGAATCCCTGCGTGCCTTCTGGAACAGGGGATTGGATGCAGTCTCCCCACCTTGTCCTTTTCTCCTTCCCCTCCCCATAGATGCCAATATCCCAGAGCCCCTCTCGGAGACGACCGAGAACGTGGTGTGCGCCCTGGGCCTGGCGATCGGCATTTTGGGCATTGTGGTTGGCACCTTCCTGATGATAAAGAGCAGGAACATGGGAGAAGCCAGCTACCGCCGAGGGCATCTGTAAGTTCCCGGACCCTCCAAGTTCTGCTTTGGGGGGGGGGAGGGCAAGGGAGGGGGGAATCCACCAGGTTGGGGTGGGGAAGATTCACATCAGGACTCCAATGTTAGGCAAAGCTAGGAAGCAGGGGAGATATTGGGCTGCAAAACCCCAGAGAGCCACTAGGGGGCAGCCAGTGGGAGTCTCTGCTGTGCCCCCCCCCCAGTGGCCCTCTGAGGTTTTTGCACGAGGGAGCTCCAGCAGAGCTTCCTATCCGGAGTGTGATGTGCGGAACGGTTGCGGGTTCTGTTGCTTCTTCAACAAACCACCATTCTTTTTAAAAATAACAAAAACAAACCAAGACGCTGAAGAGAGCCAATCTAGTGACACCGCCCCCCCCTCGCAGTCAAGGATTCTGCGGCAGATCAAAACAATCAAGATGGCAACCGGAACTAGAAAGGGGAGGGGCCTGCTTTGATTGCAGGATCGTGGCCTCCGTCTTGATTTTTGGATCCCCCCTCTCCCCCGCCCCACCGCCGTAGACCTTAGTTGAACCATCTGCATGATTCACTGAGAGGAAGCCACGATGGGTTGGTTTCTGCCCCCTTGGCCCCTCAACCAGGTGAGGCTCCCTCTTGGAACGGGGGAGGGGCTGAAGAGGAAAGAGTGAGTCTGGGAAGCCCCTCCCCCCATGGAAGACCCACAGAGATCAGGCACATCGAGTCTTTCTCTCCAATGGGGCCCCCCATCCAGGATTCTCACCCCTCCCTCTTTCTTTCCTTCCTTCCAGGTAAACCAGGATTGGGACGAGCGTCAGTCCCCACCCCCACCCCTCCCGTGAGCTGCATTTCTACCTGTGCTGCACACTTTTTTCTTTTCTGACACTTGTGACGACTCCAGAGTAAACTAGGAAGAGGGAGGGGGAGCTCTCTGCCCCCCCCCGCCAATGTTCTTCCCCACTTGCCTTGTCGGAGATCCGAGAAATGCAACCTTCTCAGGGGTCCGCCTCGTCTTTCAAGCGTTGGGACTGGAGGGAAATGTCGGGAGGGGGTTTTGGAGTGGAGAGAAGCTGGCAAGGGTGCTGTCTGAGTTGGGTTGTCCTCTTGCAGACCTTTCGTGATCAAAACTAGGTAACATCTTCCCTAGCACTGATGATGATACTTAGTTGGGTCATGAGACGTCTACAAGGAAACAACCCCCCCAAGCTCTGAGCTCTGATAATGATCCCTAGTTGGGTAATGAGATGTCTGCAAGAAAGCCACCAAGCTCAGGGAACATCAAGGACCCCATAGTCTTCCTCCTCCTCCTCCCTTCCCTTCTAATGATGTTCCCTAGTTGGGTCGTGAGACGTCTGCAAGAAAACCACCAAGTTCCAGCAACAAATATTCTCCTTTATTGAGAGAAAACACAGGACGGGGGGGTCCTTTGCCACCAATGATGGAGAAGGCCAGTTTGAAGGGGGCACCTGGTCCAAGCCCAGGAACCAGGGCTAGCTGAAGGGGGCACCCTCTGTGGTGCCCATCCCCCCTACCTCTTGAGTATTATTTTCTCCCCTCCCTTTCTGATCAGCTTCTGGGTTTCTTTGGGACCCCTTTGTCCACGAGGAAGGCAAGGGCAGGTGATCCCTTAGCACAAGGGTAGGCAACCTTGGCTCTTCTATGACTCGTGGACTTCAACTCCCAGAATTCCTGAGCCAGCCATGCTGAGGGAAAAGGGAGAGGTTTCCAAGCTGGGCCAGGCTGGCTCAGGAATTCTGGGAGTTGAAGTCCACAGGTCATAAAAGAGCCAAGGTTGCCTACCCCTGCCTTAGCATCTCTCTTCAATGTCCCCCCCCCCCATCTCAGAAACCTCCCTTAAACAATCTCTGACTGCATTGACTTTTATAGCTCCCATCCCAGGTCATAACCCCCCCCCCCCAATGATCCAATTGCAGTCTGCTGGCTCCCTTTGAATAGAATGTGAAAATTGTTTTGTGTAGCCAAATCCAGAGGTCCGTTTCCTTCTTTGTCAGGACCCTGGACAGTGATTTAAGCAATCTCTCTCTTCCGCGGCCTGTAGAATGATTAAGGGTTTTTGGGTTTTTTTGGTGTGTGGTTTTTTTTTGAACAGTGCCTTCCTTCTGCACCCACCCTCCCACCCCCACAAAATTCCACCCACCCCTCTTTTGTCCTGCAAAATCAGCCCCTTCAGCTCTGCAACCGCTGCAGAATCAGAACGCTTCCGAGCTTTGGGCTGCTTCTTCTTTCCAATAAAGATGATATTACTCAACTTGTGTGTCGTCCCTTTTGTGCGATTGGAAAAAAAGGAAGCGATGTTGATTGTGGTTTGTAGGTTATGGGGTGGGGGAAAGGGTTCGAGAAAACCTACCAGAAATCTAACCCAGAAAGCGGTTGATTTCGTGACTGGCCGAAGGATCCCTTCTGCAGATGTTGAAAAAGGAACGTCAAATTGGAAGTAAAAGTTTGCTTTTCGGGGATTGTTGGGGAAAGACTTTGAAAAAACCTTGTGATTCGTGCTGTTGCACAGTGGTCCTTGGTTTACGACCACAGCTGAGCCCAAATGTATTAGGTGAATTTTGCCCCATTTTATGACCTTTCTTCCCATGTTTGTTAAGTGAATCACTGAAGTTGTTAAATTAATCAGATGGTCGTTAAGTGGATCTGGCTCCTCTGTTGAGTTTCTCAGAAGTTTGCAAAAGGGGATCACGTGATCCCAGGACACGGCGACCGTCGTAAATATGAGTCAGTGGACAAGCACCCGAATGTGAATCACATGACCATTGGGGAAGGCTGCAATGTTCATAAGTGTGAAAAATGGTCATAAGTCACTTTTTTCAGTGTTGTTGTTACTTTGAATGTTCACTAAATGAACAATTGACCAGTGGAACAACCTGTCTCTAGAAGGGGTGAATGCTCCAACACTGGAAGTTTTTAAGAAGAGATTGGACAGCCATTTGTCTGAAATGGTAGAGGGTCTCCTGCCTCAGCAGGGGGTTGGACTAGATGACCTCCAAGATCCCTTCCAACCTTATGGATCATTGCACAATGAGCCAAATGTTCAGACTGGATTTGGCATTTTGTCTACCTATTGAGTCCTTATCCAGGACCTGGGATAGGCAAATGTGGATGTTTGATGGTATTACAGATATCGTCGCAGGATGGAAGCAGTTCCTAGTAAGGCCACCTTTTGCAATTGACTAATAGCGAATTTGTCAGTGCCAATGATGTTCAAGTGGTGCTCCAGTTGTTTTGGGATTGCACCCAAGGAGCCTGTTACTATTGGTACTACCCTTGCTTGCTTTTGCCACAGTCTTTCTATTTCTATTTGTAGGTCTTTGTATTTTGTTATCTTCTCCAGTTCTTTCTCGTCTATTCTGCTGTCTCCAGGCCCTGCCACATCCACTATCCAGACTTTTTTGTCTTTCTTATCGACAATTGTTAAGTCTGGGGTGTTATGTTGCAGGTGCTTGTCTGTTTGAATTCTGAAGTCCCAGAGCAGTTTAACTTTATCATTTTCTATTATTATTATTATTATTATTATTATTATTATTATTATTATTATTATTATTATTTTGTTGTTGTTGTTCTTGTTGTTGTTGTTTTAAGTCAACAACCTTAGATGACAGTGCAGAAAATTAAATAAGTGTAAAAAGAAATATGTTATTTGTCACAATGGGAAAAAAATGAATGGGGAAAAATAGTTTTGGTTGGTACGGCAGTAGAAATTTTTTTAAACAAAGAGAAGATTTTTTACTCAGTCCCGGTTCCACTTGGAAATCACTTCTTTTTTTTAGGTTTGAAATAGGAAAAAAAATTAGACTTTAGTTTGAAGGCTGAATCATTATTTAGTTGCAGAAATAACTAATAATAAGATTAGATAACACTTTATTGTCATTTTTTTCCTGCGGGCACAACAGGACAGATTAAAAATGAAATTCAGTTGCTTGCTCTCAAAGTGTACGCATACATAACACACATTTAAAACATGCTATATACAACATATGTACAGTAGTGGCCAAAATTGTGGAAACCTTTTGGGAAAAGTGTACAGTAGAAATGCCACTTTTGGTTAAGTTTCCACCAATTTTTCTAATTTCTTTATAACTGTAGCCTTGTTCACTTAATAATACTATTTTACATCGCTTTCTGGGCAACCAGTCAACTCTTTGCACCATTAATTTAATTTTATTATGTTTTACAAGCTCACTAAATGAAACAACACAAAAAACCCCAACCGACTTGATAGCCATCACATAACTCACTGACCAATGTCCTCCTCTCGGCTTCAATACATGACATCAATAACTGAATCCTGCCGTGATCTGATTGGCTCATTGCCAAAACAAGATGACACCTGATTGGCTCTCTAAACACTCACACTCATTGGCTACAATCAGATGAAGGAAAGCTACCTGATATCAACCTAAGCAAATTGTGCTTCCTTTTTCTGGTTATTTGGCTATAACTTTTCATAGAATACAGTAGAGGTGATTGAACAAACTTTGTTGCATTACATTCTTGATTAAATTATCTTTCCATTGATATATAATTTTATGGTACTGTTTCCCCCCCCCCCAAAAAAAAGTGGTGTTATTAGCCATCAAACCTCAAATGTACACTTTTCCCAAAAGGTTTCCACAATTTTGGCCACTACTGTCTAAACCTTCACACTCACATATAAGTAACATATAAATATTAATCATTAACAACAACAACATAATTCAAAAGTCAAAGGTAAGTATTTTCACTGTACTGGAAAAAACGCCTTTTTTCTTTTCTTTTTTATCCTTCCCTCCTCTTTTTTAAATCTTTATTTTTATTGTATTTTATGCTATATTAAACTTTAATAAAGTATTGTGGGGGGGGGACAGAATCGCTTCGGCAGAGATGCGAAATTTTCAAGGCAGCCGCGCAGCCTAAGTGGTGAATCGGACGAGAAAGAGACTGTCCCTGCCTGGCAACTAGTGACGAGGCCTGTTTCAGAATTGTGATTGGGCAATTCATGGAAAGTCCCATCCAAGCGAGGAAACCCCCTGGCGTGGGTCCAGCGGAGCGGGAAGGGGGGGGCTGGAGAAAGGGGGCGGGGCGTTGCCAAACAACTTTCTCCTGGGGGGAAATTGGACCCCCCCTTCTGCTTTATCAGATGGTAATAAGCCAATACGTGATGGCGATTTTTATTTCCCTCAAAAATCCGCTGCTGGAATATTCCAGCCACCCCCCCCAGGTAATCCTTTGCCTTTGATCCTGAGAGGTGATTCCACTGGGAAGAAAATGCACTTTGCTCTTGCTCAGAGGCACTGTCTTCTAAGCCCCCCCCCCGTTTCAGTCTTGCACCCACGTCCTGCGTCTGCAGTCCTTGGACCTGACCCTTAGGAGAGGGGGCTGGCAACTGGGGTGCAGCAGGGGAGCGCCCCATCTTCACTAGTGTGTGTGTGTGTGTGTGTGTGTGTGTGTGTGTGTGTGTGTGTGTAGAGGGGGGTCAGGACTACAGCATGTGTTTTAGTGATCAGTGGGGTGGGGGTTATATGTGGGTCTTTGGCAGACTCTCCCCAGCAGCCGCTATTGCGGGGGGGGGGGGTTTGCGTGGCCCCAGAAGAAGCTGCTGGCCGAAACAGGATTCAGCACGGAGGACGCTTTGCAAGCAAAGGCCTTAACGCACAAACGCTTGTCCCGGCAGACAGCCTGGCCTCACAAAGCCAAGGATTGTGTTACACGCCCTGATGTCACAAGACAAAGGCGGGCGGGGTTCCCGCAGCCTCAGAAGGTGCCCAAACGTGAAAGCGAGCGACAAAGAGACAGGCAGACAGATAAGGAGAGGAAGAGAGCGCGGGAAGGAGACAAAGAGAAGAAGAGAGAGGGGGAGAGAGAGCAAGAGAGAGAGCGAGAGGGGGAGAGAGAGTGACAAACAGACAGAGAAAGAGGGAAGGGGCGGTAAAGAGAAAGGGAGAGGGAGAGAGTGCGGGAGGGAGAGAAAAAGAGCAAGACGGAGAGAGGGAGAGAGAGAAGGAGGGAGGGAAAGAGAGAGGCAGACAGACAGGGAGAGAAAGAGGGAGGGAGCAAATGCGGGAGGGAGACAAAGAGAGCCAGAGAGAGGGAGAGAGAGAGAGAGAGAGAGCAAGAGAGAGAGAGGGAGGGAGTGACAGACAGAGAAAGAGGAAGGGGGTGGTAAAGAGAAAGGGGGAGAGAGAGAGAGAGAGGGACGGAGGGAGAGGAAGGGAAAGAGAAAGGGAGAGGGAGAGAGCGTGGGGGGGAGAGAAATAGAGCAAGAGGGAGAGGGGGAGAGAGGCAGACAAATGGATGGAGGGAGAGAGAGGGAAAGAAAGGAAGGAAGAAGGAGGGGGAAAGAGAGGCAGACATAGGGAGAGGGAGAGGGAGGGAAAGAGAAAGGGAGAAAGAGAGACAAAGAGCGAGAGGAAGAGGGAGAGCGAGAGGAAGAGCGAGAGAGGAAGGGGAGGACGGGAGGAGTGAGGGAGAGTGGCCCAAAGTCACCCTGGGAGCCGGGGTCCTCCTTGCCCACCCTCCTCTCCTCTCTCCTCCCCTCCCCGCCCCGCCCAATGAGCTGCGCTGGTCCAGCCAAGCAAGGAAACGAAGCGGGCCCGGTAAACCATAGCTTGCCTCTCCTCTTCCCACCCGGAGCTCAGCTCTGCCCCGCCCAGCTTTAGGGGAGGCAGCGTGGGGTGATTATTCTTGGTTCTACCAGGCTGGCCGGGGATGGCGGATCCAGGATCTTGTGGGCCGCGGCCACCATCTGGTGGTCATTGGAGGCTGGACGCCCTCTCTGATGGTGGGGAATAAGCGATCGATCAGAATAGAACTGGAAGGGACCATGGAAGCCTTCTAGTCCAGCCCCCTGCTGGATCAGGAGAACCTATGTATGCCAGGGGTAGGCAACCTTGGCTCTTTTATGACTCGTGGACTTCAACTCCCAGAACTCCTGAGCCAGCCTGGCTCAGCTTGGAAACCTCTCCCTTTCCCCTCAGCATGGCTGGCTCAGGAATTCTGGGAGTTGAAGTCCACGAGTCATAAAGCGGCCTAGGCCTAGGGCAGGGGTAGGCAGCCTTGGCTCTTTTATGACTCGTGGACTTCAACTCCCAGAATTCCTGAGCCAGCCTGGTTCAGCTTGGAAACCTCTCCCTTTCCCCTCAGCATGCCTGGCTCAGGAATTCTGGGAGTTGAAGTCCACCAGTCATAAAAGAGCCAAGTAATAAAGTGAAGCTTCTAGGCCAAGAGTAGGCAACCTTGGCTCTTTTATCACTCGTGGACTTCAAC